GTCAGAAATGAGACTTAGAAAAATGATAAAGTGCTGAATTTATAGCTACTTCCACTGGTACAAATAACACCATTTCCCCCCATCCTGGTGTTTCATGTCTTCTTCCAGTGTGCATCATTGCAGCTGACTAACTTACGTGGTTACAGAGAATAAAGTTTCAGAGCTTTTACACTTCTTGACATCCAATAATGCCCATGAAATCACCATGCCAGTTAGATAAGGCTCCCTTCATCAATTTTCTCAATGTCATTCTGTGCTTCTCCCTACTTTGTTTACTTCAAAAGGACTAAAGAATATCTCATGTGAAGATATAGTGCAAGAAAACACATCGCAGACAATTGTTGTTCTCCCTAGTGAGAAAATGGGTAAACATTTGTTTTTTTTTCCCCCACTCTTAAATAGACAGAGAAATAAGAAGGAAGTAAAATCCAGTGACTTGCCAAGGCTCTCAGTAAGGTCCCACAGCACGTGTAGCAGGTTGGCCCTTGGCTATGGTTAGAGCTAGTGAACCAAATGGCATCAAGTAGCCTCAATCAGGTGAGGCCTGAGAAGGCAGGGCAGCCTGAGTCACATACCCACAAGGAGTCAAGTTTCCTGCCAATCCAGGAAACACTGGACTGGAGGTGTCCCAAAACTTTATGCTAGTGAACCAGCATGCATGAGGCTGATGACTGACAAGGATATTCCACTGCTACTACGCCAACTGGAAATAGGATACCAGATGTTTCTCCCTAATGCCATGGGGATTAGGTAAGCTAGGAGAGTGCCCGCACCTGAAGGAGAACCAAACACTTTTGGCCTAAAGAACAAAAGTGTCCAAGATTCTCAAATTAACGCTAATGAGGATCAAGATGATGACTGTATGTCCTCTTGAACTTAAATAGACTGAATACTTGGTGACATAATTACAGTATTAATAGTTTATTTTCAGGTTTGAGAAACCAGAACTGATTTATCCAAAAGTAAATCTAGAATTGACTTTATTTTCTAGACTTGTAAATGCTTGGATCTATAAGATGAAGCATCAGTGTATCATTGTCAATAATTTCTATGAATGCTGTCAGGCAAACACATGGTTGAGTAGTCTGTATCTTATACCCCCAGGGCCAAATGGTGTAAGACTTTTTGGAAATATCTAGGAACCAATCTAATTATAGGTTGAAAAAGAAATTGTGGCTGAAGGTATTTTTCCTGTCATAAAATTAAAGTGTCATAGCAAAAGATTCAATGCACATTTAAAGTATTATTTCTGTGTGCAATATGGGGCTACCAGGTTAACAACAAAAATAATCTCACTACTATGGGCATTTTTGTGATGAAGTGATTTTGTGATGAAAGCCACTTCCGACAGCTTCCTACCATTTGGAAAGGCCATTTCTCTCCACTGGCCTCCCCTGTGAGGGATGAAGTAAGATGGGACATAGCCCCAGTTCCCCAGGGGAGGAGGTGGGAGGAGCATCATTAACAAGTGGTTTTCATGAAAGTTATAGGGCACTTCAACCCCAAGAGTACCATCCAACATCTGGCTTTCAGGTAAGTAGTCCTTGAGTAGCTGAGATGACAGGTATGAGCCACACACTAGGCCTAAATGACTATCAATCTTCGGTGCACTTCTCTGAAAAGTCATGCCGTAGACTTTTATCCTAAGAGAAACACTATACTTTTTCTTTCACAAAAATAATTGATTTGATTCCAGAGTTATCTGTTACTTTCCAATAATAATAATAAACTTATTAGCAGATATTGTGGTGCAAGCCTCCTAAACTCATTGGGAAAAAGAAAAAGATATAGAAGCAATGGATAAAGAGAGCTATCCTTCCATATTTAACAAGATATTGGACACCATTCATTACAGTGCAGTGAAAATAAGAATACATAGAGATGGCTTTTTCTCACTTGGGGCTGGTAGTTTTATACCAGGGAAAAACACTCATTCCATCACTATTAAGTCTAGGCAATACTGGGACACACATCTGCTGTGAGCCACAAAAGGACCAGATGGAAAAATAATTCAAGCACACATCGACTTGATGGTGGGGGCTAGTGGCATCGTTTATACAAAAGTTTCAGCAGATTCAGCCGGCAAGACTTTTGGCTGAAAGATCTCTCTGGATGGGCCATAATGCTATTGGTATTTAACCATTAGTCCTTCTCTTTAAAAAATATATTTTGTAAGAAAAGAATTTTTTTAATGTTTTTATAACTGCTGACTCTAAAAGTTCTCCAGAATTGCAGTAAAGAATGGCAGTAAAAGAAGGCATAAAATGACCTATAATCTCGAGGTACACATAATTCATGTTTTTTTTCCTCCTTGTATAAATCCAATTCTGAAATGGAGGATGCAGTTTTTAGTGATCGTGGAGAAAGGAAAGAGGTGGTATGGCACAAATTGGACACTTACCATGAATACAGTAGACCTAGGACTCTATGGTAAGTGGCTGGGATGTAGCCAGGTCATTGGGTTCAACTCCCAGGAAATATGGTGAATATCATCTCTCTTCTTACCAAATGCACAACAAGATATCAAAGAGCAGTATTTGGGAGGAAAGGAAAAGGACTAAAAAGATGTCAAGTATGTCATGACCATAGGATCCCACAAAGATCAAGAGTGACAGAGCAAGTCAATCCCTGGCACATTTCTACTCCATAATGCCAGGTGTTGATGCAAGACAAACATCTGGATGTGTGATTAATTTTTTTATCTTCCTCCAGATGCTGGAAGAATGTAAATGCTAGGGATAATCAAAAAGGTTACTTTGAACATTTGACAATGGTAGAAAGAATAGACTATTAGTGGGATGCTAGAGGGCATTTCAAAGGTCACTAGCAATGTACGCAGAGAAAAATATTCCTCTTATCTCAAGTTTGTATTTCTGTCATAAAAGCAAAAGTCCATTAATCAAAAGGAAGATTCAAACGTTCTTTTAAAGACCTTTCTCCCATGAAATTTTTCTTGAGATGCTTTTAATCTTCTATTTTAAAAATCAGTTATAGTCAGGTGCTGGTGGCTCATGCCTGTAATCTAGCTACTCAGGAAGCTGACATCTGAGGATCACAGTTTGAAGCCAGCTCAGGAAGATAAATCTGGGAGACTCTTATCTCCAATTAACTGGCAAAAATCCAGAAGTAGAGATGTGGCTCAAGTGATAGAACACCAGCCTCAAATGAAAATGCCAAGGGAGAACTCAAGGCCCTGAGTTCAAGCCCTAACACTGACACAGTTATGAAACAGTGGAAGGTAGTTAGAATATTTCCATCAATATGGATCACAGTTAACATGTGATGGACAGCTCTTCTAGATCCAAAAAGAGCCACCTCTCCCCAACTCTGGAAAAAAAGAAACATCACATGATGATGTTTTATTAGTTTGTAAGTATATATCAATTCAAATCCTATACCCTTTTTCAGATGCAGATATCACTTGAATAATTTTAGTGAAATATTCTCTCAATCTCTATCAAATCCTTCCACTGACAAAGAAAATCACATTTGCTACTTATCATTCTGCATATTGCTTATATACAAAATATGTATTTTCTGAGTGCTTGAAGCTTGAAATATTCTTTCTTACTAGATAGGACTGCAAGCTCAACTCAAATTGGATAAAATACTTCTGCCATAAACACTAAGTAGTTTAAAAATCTCAAGATGAAACAATATTTACAGATACTGAGAGTTCTAGGGACTGTTTCAGTGTTTTACAGTTCAGACAATCATTGTGTAAATAGCTAGAGGTTAAACAGAATGAAGTGTCCCAGGATTAGGTACTCAACTACAACTTTGCTGAGGGATATTTTTTCCTACTGCCCCTAGAAATATCACAATGTCGATAGAAAGCAATGATATAAAGCAGATTTGGAAAGTCCAAAGCTGTTTTCCTGTTCTCCAGAGATCTCAATATTTTCAGACCGACATTACTCATCTGTGACTGAGACATCTGCCTGGGACAATCTTCCATGGCTCAGTGACCAGGAGGAACTAGATGGGATGGAAAGCTGTGGGGGAGCTAGCCTGCTCCTACGGAATGGGTCCTGAGGCTAAGAGAGCCAGCAAAAAATAAAAATTAAAAAAAGAAATTGGACGGACAATGTGGTTCCATTACATCCAGTTCTGCTGAGGTCATGGAGTCTTGCCTTGCTTAAATGAAACTTTATGCCATATTTAGTCAACCCTCTGAGAGTTAAAAGTTTAGCGTCTCTGCTGTCTTCAGTTGGCTAAGTCTGTATCAGGCGGTAAGCCATGACACTCAATGAAACCAAACAGTGCTAGTGGCAGTGTTAATGAACACACATTATATAAGTGCTTATGCCCAAGAATCATGCTCTGTGTTAACATGCAAGCAAATGGACCCACATGGTACAGGCCACTCAGGAAAACAGCTGATGCTCAAGGCTGCAGACAGTATTTCTCCAAATAAAGCTCTAAGTAAAGCTAAGAAGACAGAATATCTCCAGGAAGAGCCTGCCTGTCTGCACACTGGCATGTACACATACACACATACATACACATCACATGCCAGTAATATTTTCTTTTACTATTTCTTCCTTCTTAGGTATTTAACATCTATTTTCACTAGGTCCACATTTTTTTCTTTGCTTGCTTTAGTTAATTTTATTCTCCATCAACCTAACTTATGCCAAACTAATAATTCTTAGGGCAAGAAAATTCAAAAGCAGTCACTCTGTGGGCAGAATCAATCACCTACACAAATTAGAAAGTACTGTTAATACCTTGGTGTTTAGGATTAGGTATCCAAGTCACTTTATATATTTGCTCTTTTCACTGGTCATTTAGAAAGACATCTTCTGTAACTCCTTTGCTTTACTGTAAGTGGCTCTGAAGTCATCTGCATTATTAGTCACAGCACAGGTTGCCATCATCTCCCAAACTTACCTGGCTTGCTCTCTTCATATTAGTCTGCAGGCTGGAATTGCTACCACTTCCCAGAAGCAGCCCATCCGATGTTAACCTATCCCTCTTCCCTCTGTACTTACACTTACCTTGGAGATGCTGAGGGGATGCTAGGGAGGAAGGTGACACCGTGGAAGACCCCTCCAAGTCTAGAGATGAAGGGCTTTGGCTTCGAGCAGCAGACAAAGCTGAGGCTACTGGCAAGGTGAGGTCCAGAGAGAGGTCAGCTCTGTCACGGCTCGCACTCCGGCTCCTCAGCTCCTTCTCGTGTGCCTCAGCTGCCAACTGCTCCAAGTATTTGTATCTGAAAGTTAAATTCCAAAGGGTTTCCGTAAAAAGAAAGAGGAGCTGGTGGTGGATGCTTGTTTATGGATGAAACACCTGCAGAGTGAGCTTGTTTCCTGATGCACAGAGCACAGAGGAGGGCTGACTGGAGGGTCAGTCTGCCAAAAACACCCAGTGAAGCCAAGATGCTAATGATTAAAAATCCTGCATCATTCATAACCAAACCAGTTGGGGGAAATGGCAACATCACACAGTCCCAGGTCCTGGATGATTGCTGCAGAATCCTACTTTTCCCTTTTAGGAAACATTTGTATCAACAAGCAAAACAGCAGTAATGATCATCACAAAAGTCCCACCAGTGACAGCTGAGAATCAAATTCCCTTGGAGCTTGCAGCTGTGAAATGAGAGGGTCCCTGGGTATGACGGAGAGTAACAATGCCCCAAATACCCAAAGGGGTTGCTTGGACAAGTCCTCTCGGAATTTCTGAACCTGCTTCAATGCTAACAGCAATGCAACTGGAATTCACTTTGTTCTCTCAGTGTCGACCATGGAAACTTTTTTTATATTCTAAAATATTTCTGAGCAGGACTCAGACATCCAATAGCTCGGCCCTGACGTCACATATAGTTTATTCATCAAAGTCCGTTGAAAAGAACAAAGATACATCTGTTTTGCATTTCAGGCAGGCAGAACCCACTAACTGTTTATTAAGACCAGCTACCAATCATATTCTTCATAGTGCGCTTTATAGATCAGACCAAAATAACTTTGAAATATGTGCCTCTTCCAGATGTCTAATTTTACTCACCATTATTTGTGTAGAAATGAATGTACAAATTCAGCAGTCACAGGTCTGACTATCTCACCCACCGCTGAACTGTTTATTCAAGATCTTCCCTCTGCACTCATCCAGATTTTCTGCTTCAGACCCCTGCAACCAGTCACCCCTGAAACTCCCATTTGGATTGGACATGACACTTCTACTTCACCCGTATGAGAGAGACAAAGCAAATACTGAAAATGTTTTTAAATGCATTTTTAAAGTATATACTCTTGACTCCATCCTTGAGGTGAGCTCATCCCATCTTCTCCCCGGGCACAAAGGCAGGCTGCTCTTTAACCCTGTTTACATGGATGGGATTCTTGGCCTGTGAAGCCAGCTTGGACCTGCACAGCTGGAAGTGATCTTGGCCCTGCCTCTGAACTCATGTCGGATATGTAGCCCATTCAACTCGGATGGCATTGTACATTTACTGCTTGGCATAATATGTAGTCATCCTTTCACATGTGTAGGTCTGTTTGCAACACGCAGATAATAAGATTTCTGAGAACATGAAGATTACCATCCTTTGTTCCTTCCCTCCGCACCTTGTATCTGTCAGTTGATGGGAAACAGACAAGCTGCAGGAAGAAATCTGCCAAGAGGCCCCCCCACCTGCAGAAGCCCACCTGCAGCCCAGAAGGCTGAGGGATAAAGGCACCCCATGCTGCGGTCAGAGAGAGAAGCTTGCTTCCCTGGCAAATCTCTGAGAAAAAGACTTGTGATACTGAGAGCAGCTGCCTCACAGTTACAGGATGAAGCTCTCCTGAGGAAAGCTCAGTCTTCTCTTCCCTGCCTATAGCATCACCTCCCAAAGGTTAAGAGAGATTCTGAAGGAAATGGCATTCCTCAGCTCAATACAGGACCTTCTGACAGTGGAAGTAACAGGAACCATAGGGGAAAAGGATTTTTCAGGGCAAGAGGCATATTTTGAATGGGATGGTGGCAAGCTGAAGGCCAGCACTGCTGTCGGTCAAAGGCAAAAGTCAAGGTATTAATTACCACATTGAGTTCAGGCTTGCAATGGAAGAAAGAGGCCAGCAAGAAATGCAGCACAACTAATGGGATCTAGACAAGTCCAGAAGATCAGAACCCTAGAGCAGGAAACCAGGAGTCCAGGAAGGGTGATAACAATGCTCTATATGAACGCTTCCAGCTAGACATCAACCCAGTTTTGAACCTTGTCATGGGCCTTTCATACCCCTTTCAATGGACAGCCAGGCCATCAGCCAAGGGCTTTAGCTTACTTTCTGGAGTATGGCAGTGGTTGCTCATTCCTAAATAGATAAAACAAAAAAAGACCTATTCCCATGCGTACCTGGGCATCCTGGATGCCATCACTAGTATTCTATGATTCAAGGGAAAAGGCAAGGTTTTAACTTGAATGATCCAAAGAATGAAGATGTAACATCTTAGAAAAAATAAATGGCATAGGCTGTTGTGGGAGTGTGGTTTTTTTTAACGGTTATAAAGTTCTAGTTTTATATGATAAAGAGTTCTGAAGAGTAGTTGTCCAACCATGTAAATCAGCCTCACATTACTATACTCTGAAGATGGTTAAAATGGCTAAACTTGGGTTGTGTGTACTTTACTATTTTCTTTTAAATCAAGTGACAAGGTGAGGCAGGCATGGAGGTCAAGAACTCCAAACCTTTCTGGAAGATCTACAGCGTTTCTCTACAGTGGCCAGAGAGGTAAGGGTCGAGAGTTGTCAGGGAGGACCACAATACCTCGAAATTTGAACATCCTATCATGGTTTAGCAACCTCTTGCCACACAGAAGCCCTCTGCAGGCCTTGGGAAAGAGACTGCATGTGTATCGTGGCCTTTTTATAGAGTAACTCTAATAGCCATATCATTCCTGATATGAGGAGCCCTCCAACCTATGCTTTTATGGGTCCCTGCTGCTTTTTCTGGGTCCACGCAAAGCAAAGGCCTTCCACCCACGAGCACAGCTCCAACAGCCCCCTTTACACCCTGCTGCCTCCATCCAAACCTTCCCAGTTCTCTTCCTTCTACTCCTCTTCTTTGTTTATCCATTCAGCTTTTCATTTATTTATTGACTATCTGTAGCCTAGCTGTCATGTGCCAAGGACTGGAGTAGGCACTAGAGATTTCATAATAAACAAGAAAAATCCCATCCTCACGTAGCTCACAGTTCAGTGGAAAAGAGGTAAATAAACAAGTGGAGTGAACTCCAACACCCAGCAGGGGCCTGGTGACAGGACTGGAACTGTAGCTCAGTGTGGGTCTTCAGAGGACCCACAGAAACCCTGTCTGACTTTAGGTTAACCTTAACTTGCTTACAGATGATGATTTTTCCTGCTGTTTTTCTACTTGGAAATTCTCCCTCAAGTTAAACCTGTCTGGATCCCTCTAACTTCCACTTTTAGTCCTTCCAAGCAATGCTCAGAGTCCTTCTCACTGTTCTTTTGATCACTGTCTACATGATTTTCAAATTTCTAACCCACGGCCTAAACTTTCCCATGCAGGGGAGGGGGCACACTTACATATATATATATATATATATATATATATACATATATATATATATATGTAAATACACATATATACATATATACATATATTTATACACATACATATAATTTCATGAATATCACTTAAATCAATCATGCTATGTAAAGCCTTTCTTCTAATATTAAACAAAGATGGAGCATCTCAACAAAAACTTATACATCACTGTCAATAAAATCATTTAGTGAAATTAGAAAATGAGAGGATGTGAAATAAAACAGTACTGCTTGGCCACTGTAATTCAATGTAGCAAAGCAATTTAAATGATATATATCTTACACTTACATGATACATATTTTAAAAGCCATCTGCAAGCCAGGCCCTGGGAGGCTCATGCCTGTAATCCTAGCTACTCAGGAGGTTGAAATCTGAGAAACATGGTTCAAAGCCAGCCCAGGTAGAAAAGTCCCCCTGTAAGACTCTTATCTCCAATTAACCACTCAAAAACTGGAAGTGGCACTGCTATGGCTCAAAATGGTAGCGTACTAGCCTTGAGCACAATGAGGCTCAGGGATAGCACCCAGGGCCTGAGTTCAAGCCCCGTAACCGACAAAACAAACAAACAAACAAACAAAAATACCTTCTGCTGTGATTCAAGCCATCTTTTTCTGAGTCCTTTCATTAAGAACAAAAGATATGTATATCAGCTACTCAAGAACCACAGGTAGGAAGAAAGGTGAGTTTGAGGTCAGCCCAGGCAGTTAGTAAATAAAATACAAACAGAAGGAGCATGGTTCAAATGGCGGAGCACTTGGCTGGCCTGCGTGAGGTCCTGGTTTCAATCCCAGAGACAAGCACCAGAGACAAAATAGCATCTAGGCTATGGAAGGCATTCAGTGGATTAGGAGGGGGAGAAGAAAAGAGAGAGTTGGGGAAGAGGGAAGGAAGAGGGGAGAAGGGAAGAGGGAGGGGGAAGAAAGGGCAAGAAGGCACTCAATAAATATATCTGGCTCTATTGTAAAGAGTCAATACATGAAGCCTGAGTCCTCTTTCATATATCTATACCTCTTTCCATCTCTGATCTCCATGAATTGCCACATCTATTTCAAAATTCCAATAGAGTTGAAAACCTTATCATATATTCCTGGTTTGCTGGGAACGTCCAAAGCTTTCTAATAAGGAACTAAATATATCTCCCTCATAACCATCTGTACCAGGTAATTAAAGAACAAAAACAACAACAAAACCAAGACAATCAAGAAAAAGTATCTGATTTAAAAAAAAAAAAAACTAAATGAAAATGCTTGGCTGCTTTTAGTCAAGCCCCATATAAACAGAAAAGTGGGCTGTGAAGGAAGATTTGGCCCCTCCTGGGTGAACTTACTCTTGAACCTGCTAAGAAGGTCTAGCAGATGGACAGCCAGAGGGACCAGGACCAAAGAAAGGAAGAAAAGAAGATAGGCAATAATCTCCTTTACACAGACTTCCAGACATAAGTGATGCTGTTTGATAAAAAGGGCCTCAGTAGTTTGGGAAAACAGTGAGATCAGCCTAAGGCAGTTCCGATCTTGACAAAGCACTTTTACATTTTGCCAAGAGATTCAAAACTGTGCCTGTGTAGACATAACTTGGTGGTCAAGTTGTCATATGCTCAAAGGAAGTGCAGAATCTGGAGAAGATAACTAAAACTGTCAAATCCTTAAGCCTATTCAGAAAATGAGCAGCACTCTCAGTAACAATATGTTATAGTCCCAATGTAAAAAAATGGGCATGGTCAGGAAAACAGAAGCTTCTTATTTATTTAGCATGATCTTCTACTCTGAACTCACTGGATGGCCATAATCTAATAGAATGCTGGAAATAAAACAATTCTGTTGTTTATTTATGGGGTTGTCTTAAGTACCTAATGTTTTTTAAGTGAGCACACACTCTTCCATGCCTCATATTTTCTTGACCCATTTAGCTGAGGATGTCTACAATATTAGCACAATTTCATATCATATTGGCACAGTTTAGTAACTGTTAGGTCCCTCAGCTGGCTCCAGTGCAAAAGACATAAAATGAGCCTTGCCATCTCCCCATGCTGTACCGCCATCTGGTGGCAGAATAAACAACTGCAGACTGTACAGGGGGAAAAACTTGTCTTTTGCTAGTTTATTTCCACAACGGTTTCCTTTGTTTCCATACACTTATCAGACATTGAATATATTGAATTTATATTTTATTCATGTTCAAACCACATTTCTATTGAAGTTAATGAGCTGGCTTACAGCTTACATAAAGCTGTTGGTTTATTAGCTCATTAAAAAAAAAAAACAAAACACGATTCCTAAGTGCCTACTATGTGCCAAGTACTAGAGTACACAAGGGAAAGCAAAGAGAGACAGGCATAGCTCCTGCTATCTAGGAGCTGGATATAGTTCAAAAGGGAGAAAGGGAAGTTATTGGGCACAGCCAGCAAGACTCTCAGGTGTAGATTGTACCAGGCACTGCATGTGCCCTCCAACACTGGTTGAAGAAATGCTGACCAAGTGAATGAAGGCATTCAGATAGTACACCTTGCCCTGGCCCAGACTTTCCAGTCAATGATGGACAACATTTTTGGGAGGCAACTGTAGGGCTTGAACTCAAGGTGCGGGTGCTGTTGAGATAAGAGTCTCACAAACTTTCCTGCCTGGGCTGGCTTATACCGCGATCCTCAGATCTAGGATTATCAATGTGAGCTACTGATTGACACCTGGCCATTGATGGTCCCATAGAAATATATTGCATACTGATGTAACAGCCATGTTACTTTATGTAAATTACGATGTTTGCACAATGATGAAAAAAATCATCTAGCAAAGCAATTCTCAAAACATATCCCCATCGTACAGTGACACATGATATGTTAATAGTCTCACACTAATGTGCTTATTTAGAGAAGAGTTTTAGAACAACAGATACATGCATGTAACATGATGGCACTAGACGATAAATGCAAACTTTCCTTAGAAAAGTTATCTGACAAGGACATGTGTTTGTAAACTGCTAGTTTCTTGCTGCATAAATGCTAGTGATACAATACCTACGTGCCTTGGGTGATGTTAATGTGTTTAAGGAACCCAGTCTTTCTCCATGCTTGGTTAACTGTGCAAAATTAGATATGGTTTAGTTTCAAAGGGAAAGATAAGATATACAAACCTTTCTTCTCTTGCTTGTCTTTGCTCCTCTCTTTTGTCTAAATACTCTCGGCTAGCAGAAATATGCAGAACACACAAACAGAGAAGGGAAATAATAGAATTAAGTGCTCAGGAAATTACTCAGAAATTACTAACAGGATATCACGAAGCCCTGCTATTGACTTGAAACACGAAATGAAAAACATTGCAGCTGAAATTTTCTTAAAGACTGTACTTAAAAGCAACAAACAGCAGACTTTCAATAAAACGTAGGATGATACAAAAACATAACATTGGATTCTCTAAAAAACATTATTAAGCTGAGTGCCAGTGCTTATGCTATAATCCTAGCTACTCACAAGGCTGAGAGAGGATCCCAGTTTGAAGCCAGCCAGGGAGGAAAAGTCTGTAAGACTTTAATCTACAACTAACCATCAAAAAGCCCAAAGTAGAGCTATGGCTTACATGGTGTAGCTCAAGCTTTAAGCAAAAAAGCTAAGAGACAGTGCCCAGGCTCTGAGTTCAAGTCCCAGTACTGGCACCAAAACAAACAACAACAGCAAAAAAACACCGCTGCTAACTACTCTGGGGAATTCATGTAAGTGTATGAGGGTAGAAATGATAGCGGCTCAAAAATACAAGGTGCCAATTACAGGCAGGCAGTAACTTTTAGAGATGATGACTATGGGATTGGGCTCCAATAATTCCTCCAAATTCACCTCAAGAATCCAGTCTAAGTGGGACTACATTCTCTAGGTATTTGGTGTTGCATTCCATAAGTTGGACATCCCTTTCTTCAGCCTGGTTCTTCCTTCATACCCATCCCACTTTCGCTTTCAAATGCCAGGACCCCTGGAAACCATGAATGATACCTAATTTAGTACAATTGTAATGCTTTTCTTTTTCTGCCAGTAAGATTGCAACTCAAATCTAAGTCTAAGACCATGTGATCAGATTAGCTTATGTTTGGCTTTATGTGATGTCATTTTGAAGCAAACTGTATTCTGTATATTTAAAATATATTATGGCATATGTGTGAATAGTAAAAATTTATCAGAGTGAATTTCTTGCTATAATCTGCTCTACGTCCTTGTATTCTTTTGTTTTGTTTTGTTGGTTATAGAGCTTGAACTCAGGGCATGGGCACTATACGTGAGCTCTTTTGTTCCAGTCTAGCACTGTACCAGTTTGAGCCGCAGTTCTACTTTCATTTTTTGACTGGTTAATTGAAGATAAGAGTCTCATGGGGACTTTTCTTCCCTGGCTAACCATGAACCACAGCTTCCTCAGTAGCTAAGATTGTAGGCATGAGCCACTGGTGCCCTGCTAAGTCCTTGAATTCTTAAAAGTAAATCATGCAAAAACAAACCTACCTATGTAGTAATTTCTCATAGTACTTCGTACTTCCCTGGAGACTCCAGATATCAAGGTTTTCTACACTGAACTTTGCAATGTAACTTTACACTACCTATCCATGCACAGGTAACGGGATATACAGAGCAAGTTTATCAGAAGGGTTACAGCAGGTTAGGATGAGGAAGAAAAATTCAAAAAGGGCTCAGATTTGTCATCATTTATATCTGTCCCCATTAGAAATAAAATTTCTTATAACCCAGGAAGCTCAAGACCCCATTCAACCAAAGCAACAACAGATAAGGAACAACTTTTAGCTGCTTTACAAAAACCACAGTGAAGCAGTAACATGGATGAGAAGTGGGGCATTCAGGTAATAACAAAAGAGCACCACATAAATAAGCTTTTCCTATTTCTTTTACTAAATCTCTTCTTATTCACATTCTCAGAAATAGAACATCATTATAACTATTAGGCAATAGGCAGTACCCATGAGCTGTTCTGATGATTAGCATCCTTTCTAGACAAAGAGTCATTTTTCCTAGAATTCTCTGTACTCTTAAATTACAAGTGAGAATCATTTGGAACCAAGAACAGATAGTAAGCAGTTAGAAACATAGCCTCTGAAGAGAGAGTGCCCATCCTATTGTGTGTGTATGTGTCCATGGGGAAGGATAGGGGAAAAAAGGAGAGAAAGAGAGAGAGTCCTTTGGGATTCCAATGCCTTGAGGGCTAGATATGTTGGTGCTATTCCAAAATAACAATACAAGTTTTATTTTGTTTCTAGATTGAACAATTTCTATTGTTTTATCTTCACATTTACTGGCTTTCCCCCCTATCATGTATATGCTGCAGTTCAGTGCATCTGGTGAATTTCTTTTTATTGTTTTTAACTTTTCACTTCAATATATATTCCCATTTGATTCTACCATCTTCAGTTTTCTCTTCCCAAAGGCTCATCTTTTTGTTTCAGGTGTATGTACGCTTACTCCCAAAACACGTCTGGAATAGCTACCCTAAATTATTTGATAAATACATCGACATCATTTTAGGCATTTTTTGATTATCTTTTCCTTTTGAATTAAAACTGTATGATAAGCCAGTCAGTATTATAGTCCACAAATCTTCAATATCCTGCAATGAGATTGTAAATATTTAAGTTCTATAGAATCTTGATTTGTACCTTGTTTTAGCCAGTTTAATCAACTGGATTAGGTTCAAGCTGTGTCTGTGAGTTCAGACCTCTATGATTGATATGAATTCCACAAGTAGCTCAGCTTTCAACTACTTTTAGTACTAGTCAGGTCAGATTCTGTGTGCACCACCAAAGTGGTGGCCCTCTCTGGCTTTCTTGGTTTCTTTTCCTGTTCACCTAGCCATAAAGCTTGGGCTTTTGATCTACTGTATACTTTTGACAACTGCATTCCATTCAGGGCAGCTTATCAAGAAGATACATAAGATATATAAGAATTGCTCACAAGGTCATTGCACTTTTGCTTAGGGGATGGGCTCTCTTTATCCTCTAGCTCTGCTACCACACGGTACATTGTGGCAACATTGCTTGGAGACTAGAACAAAAGGTGGGAGGCAGGGGAACAGAAGATTTCTGTATTCCTTGATCCTTAGGATTTCTTCTGGCAATGCCTCAGAAAAAAATAAGGCTCCTTTTTGGAACTTTTTAACTCAACATTTGCTATGCTTTGAAGTGCTTTTTTAGTTCATCCCAGGTAATACTGGAGGTAAAAGATAGTGAGTGCTCACAGGCAGAGCTCGGTACTAAGCTCCTTCAAGGCACTTGCTGCCTCTTCCATTTCAGTGCTCAGCGCTCTGGGTATCCTGTCTATGATTTATTCAGCAGTGATCCATCAGAAGAGATGGGATGGAACAGGCTGATTCCATTTCCTTCAAACTGATACCTCATTTTAAGAAGTTGGGAATGCAAAGCTTTAGATGTATGAGCTAATACCTGAATTTTTCACATAGTTCAGTCAAATCCCCTACTGCTATTTGCTGATAAACTATGTGAATCGCCCAGAAAGCCATACATAAGAATTGCATTTTATCTGTTCCAAGGATTTCAAAAAAAATTTTAAACTGCTTCTTAAATGGTGCATCCAGGGCTGTTCTGGCAAATCAAGATGAGCCACAAGGTCTGATAGAAATGATGCTGTAGCCAGTTTGCCCACTCTCACGAAAGACTGGGTCACTATTCCACTAATAGACTAGGGATGTTGGCTTTAAGTTATCAGTGGCAGCTAAGCAATCTTATCATTCTCACATTTTAATGCCCTCTACAATTACAAATACTCTGCCTGGCTGCTGGGAAAATAAACCAAGTTATTTAATCTGTAAATTTACATTGACAATACCTTATATCTGGTACTGATTTAACTAGGAGTAATAAATGGATGTATTATTTGTCAAAGAAAAAAGAGGTAGAGGTGGGATGAAAAATGAAAAAAAAATGTAAAAACTATAGGAGAGAGGGCTGGGAAGATGGAGGAGAAGGTATAGAAAATTAGGAGGGGAAAGAAAAAGTATATGAGAATAGACCTGACAAATGCTTTGCACTCCATAATGACAAAGCAAGAGACATGGGAAAGAGAGGGGAGGAGGACAGCCTAGGGAATGAGAAAACAAGTGAACTGGTGGAAAGAGAAGCAGAGAAAAACTGGATTCAATGGAAAAAGACACGTTAAGACATGGAGGCAGAGACTTAGAGATCAGAGGACAAAGGGCTAGGAATGATGAACATAATGACCATCCTCACATGGAAAAAAGGACTATTATTTACACACACACACACACACACACACACAATTACTACAGGAAGTAAAAACCAAACTAGAAAAGTGGGAAAAACAGGTTCTTTGAGGTGTCCAAGAGGTCATGAATAAAACATGAGGACCTTTAGGGAGAAATGACAAATTATGTTAAGATAATTAGACGTTCTGTCTTCAGGAAGGCCTGTGTAAGACCGTAATGGAGGACCCAAGAACACACAAGTCCCTAATTGTATTTAGTTGTCTGTGCTTCCTGTCATATGCTTAGAGAAAGGCCAAACCAAACAAGATTCAGCCTGTTGCAAGTTAAGCTTATATTTCCTTAAAAATACAGGCAGCATTAGAAGCAAAGACAGCAGTTCTCAACCTTTTGACACCAGTATTAATCATAGGGGTAAAGTAACATGCTTTATATTTTAACTCACAGTTTAAACCTTAAAATCCTTACTTGAATTTGTTTCTTTCTTCCCGTTCTATTCTCTGCAGCCTCTCTTCTCTTTCCTGTCGCCGTCTCTCTCTCTCTGCCGCCAGTGACTCTTGGTGCTGCCTAAAAGATGATGTGAGAAGACCACTTGATGCCGACCTGAAGATACAACAAGTCAATGATTTAGTTGCATAGTCTGCAATTGTCACTACTAAAGTAGGAATCAGCCTGAGCTTAAAAAACCTATCAATGGTCTGAAAAGTGAAGACAAAGAGGTTTCCTTCTTTATCGAGAAGTATCCAAGATTTGTTGTTAGTTTTCTTGATAATGGCCATTCTAACTGGGGTGAGGTAGAATTTTAATGTTGCATTGGTTTGACTGTCTTTTATGGCCAGAGATGTTGAACATATCATCACATGTCCATTGGCCATTCCTACTTCTTCCTCTGAGAAGTCTCTCTTTAAATCTTTAGCCCATTTATTGATTGGGTTGTTGAGTTTTTGAGGGTTTAATTTTGGGGAGTTTAATTTTTTGATCTCTAAGAATACTTTAGATATGAGGCTCTTGTGTGGTATATAGCTGGTAAAAATCTCCCATTCTGTGGGCTTTCTATACATATTGTTAGCTATTTCCTTTGCTGCATAGAAGCTCTTCAGTCTGATGCAATCCCATTTACCTAGTTTTTCTACTACACTGATGGTGGGAATGTAAACTTGTTCACCCACTCTGAAAAGCAGTATGGAGATATCTCAAATGATTAACATAGAGCTATCTCATGACCCAGCAATCCCACTCCTATTTATCCAACAGAACACAAACAACAGCACACTAAAGTGACCAGCACAACCATGTTCATTGCAGCATTATTTACCATAGCCAAGATATGGAATCAACCCAGATGCTCCTCAGTGGATCAAGAAAATGTGGCATATATTCCCAATGGAATTCTATTTTGTAAGGAAATGGAAAGACTTGGGAAAAGTTATATTAAGTGAAGTAAGCCAGATCCAAAGAGACATAAGTTACATGTTTTCCCTCATTTATAATAGCTAGAATATGCCTATAAAGCTACAAGTAAACACACTGAGTAAATGTATAATATATATATATATATAGAGAGAGAGAAATGATAAATTTCATAGCACTAGACATTCAGGCCAAAAGAAGATAAGTATAGAAGTGGATCACAATGGCTCAATAGCTATGTGCATATGATTATATAAAATAGTATTTTATGAAATTAACTGCAAACTTTTTTGGATTGCTGTTGTTGCTGCTTTTGTTTACTTTTCCTTTTATCTTGTTTGTTAGTTTGTCTTTGGGATGGTAAGGGATCACAGAAAAGGTGGAACAAAGGGTGAACAAATACAACAGTGCCACTCACTAGACATTATATAGAAAATAAACTGTACATCTTGTGGGGGGATGGGAGGGAAAACTGGGAGAGGGGGAGGGAGGGGGAAAGACATAATTCAAAAAGAATGGTACTGATTATCTGATTCATGTAACTGTAACCCCTTATATATCACTTCTACAATAACAATATTTTTTAAATCTCACATATATAAAAAAGAAGTATTCAAGAACATGCCACGTGCCCAAGGACAATTCTTGGCTCCTGGGGTCATCACATACATTATCTGGACTGCTTGTTAAGATGGCACAATAGGGAAGGTCAAGGGAGTGAAGGTGGCCATGAGGAACCGTGGACATGGAGCCACAGGAAATGTGAAATCAGAGAATGTGTGAAGGGAAAATTGAGTAACTATGTGAAAAATGTTAAAGGGGATTAGCTGGGAGTCTGTTAGGTCTTGAGGGAATAATAAAATCCATCACAGAAAATTGTTGCTTTTACCCACAGCAGGTGAGCACCCAATGCTAAGATACACATATTTTAAGATAAATATTTTTTTCAATTTACATATTCAAGGATAGAGTGTGGGCAAAATCTTACTTCAATTCAGTGACAATAAACCTGCATGACGGGTAATACAAGGTTTCTTACTGCCAGAGATTCTACCATAAGCTGTTCTCACTAGAAAACCCAAGGCACCTTTGGCTGTCAGAGGTGGCAAGGGACGCGGAGGAAACATCCCACTATTCCTGTGATGCTATGTTCCAGAACTGCTGTGTCAGTCCTGGACACTTTGGCAGAGACAAAACTGATTTTTTTCTTCTGAAAGAAGTCTAGATCATGCTGTATAACTTGTATCTTCTTTAATCTGCTGCTATTTTGTGAGGTTGGTTTGTTTTTTTGTTTTTTGGTCAGTTGAGGGGCTTGAACTCCAAGCCTAGGCACTGTCCCTCAGCTCTTCAGCTCAAGGCCAGCTCTCTACCACTTGAGCCACAGGTATACCTCTAGTTTTCCGGTGGTTAATTGGAGGTAAGAGTCTCATGGACATTCCTGCCCAGACTGGCTTTGAACCATGATCCCCAGATCTCAGCCTCTTGAGTAGCTTGTGTTTCTTAATGTGACATGCAGCCAGCATAAGGGGGTTTATAATGTTGTACACTGACTGGTAAAAATCAAGGATATACTTATTTAATACATTTTGTCCCACAAATTAATGACATACCCCAAATCAGAGATGATGCTCCTTATAAAATACACAAAGATAATTTAAAAAGTGGCCATTAATTCTGAATGAATGCCAAGAATTGGCTTTATATCAGCTACTTTCTTGATCACAAAGCAATTAAGTTAAAAATAAATAATAGTGAGATAAGAATGAAGAATCCATATAAATATAAATTTTAATGTATTTCTGAATAAATCAGATAGTAGTATACAACTGGAAAATAGTCAAAAAGAGCATATAAGGCTAGAAGCTATATATCAAGTTTTTCAGGATAATTCTAACATACTAATTAGAAGGAAATGTATTACTTATTTATATGAGAAAAGATACAGAACAATATATAGAGAATATCAACAAAACTAACAAGTAGTTTACAATTCAAAAATTAGTCAGTACACAATGAATAGCCCTTTTCCATACCAAAGACATACATATAAAATCCTAGATAGTTTAGGAGAAAAATGTAAAAGAAAAACTTTCCAACTTTTAGAGCTCAGAGTGCCAAATTATTTTGTTTCAGGTCAAAACGGGCAACCATAAAGGAGAGACCTGATAAATGTGCATTATTGAATTTAAATTTTTTGTATAGCTAGGAAGACTATATAAATTAAGAATAAAGAAAAGTAATGACTTTTGAGAAGCTACTTATAACTTGACAACTACAAAGAATTAGTATATAGAATATAAAAAAGAATAGTTGCAGATCAGTATGTGAAAGACTTCCCAGTGGAAAAATAAGTCAAGGATAATGGGCATTTCATTGAAGAAGTTAAATAACCAATAAACATATGGTGTTTATTTTCACTGAAAATCAAAGAAAGAGAATGCAAGCCAAACCAACAGTGAAATTCAAGATCCATCTTCTTGAATGTCCCTAACAGATCCTTACAGCAAGTAGAGAGAATTAGAGGACTATATGAGCAAATCTGCCCTACCCTTACAATGGGCAACAATTACAACATTCCTAAGCTAAATTTCTCTAGGTTTCTGCTACTATACGATCAGTATGTTGAAGTATAGACCCTGGTCCTATAAATCCTGTTACTGGAAAACTTTTCCAAGCATAATACAAATGCTGGACTGCATTTAACCATCCATACACAGAGGAAGAACTCTCAAAATATCACTAAAAAACAGAATGCCAACTTTCAAGCTAGTAAAACAAATGATTTTCTTTATAATGGCTTGTTAATATTTTTGTGTTTTATATTAAGTTCTTCAGAAAAATGCCCACAATCCTTGTAATTTGTCACAATGGTTATGTTTTCTGGTTTGGGGACCAGCTATCACATAAAGAGAATGAGAAAAAGACTTGAAATGTGAAAACTTCCGTGCAACTGGTCGTTTAATTTCTCTGAGCCACATTAAATTGTTTGGAAAATGGGGTTAATCACACTTCCAATTTATGAGGCTTAAATGAGAGTATATGTATGGATTTTCTTAAACAGCATTTGGGCCTATGGTAGGAATTCAATACATATCTGTTTTTTTCTTTTCTGGTTATTGAAATTATGGTTGGCTTTACTTTTAACTGAAATTTTATTGTAAAGATGATGTACAGAGAGGTTACAGTTACATAAGTAGGGTATTGAGTAAATTTCCTTTTTTATGTTACTCCCTTCTTCATTTTCTCCCAGCTTTTCCCCTTCTGACCCCCTTCCCCCCTTAAGTAGTATAGTTCATTTCCAACATAGTGTCTGGTAAGTATCACTGCTGAATTGGTTCACCTTTTGTTCTATCCTTTCTGTGATTCCCTTTCCCCTCCCCAAATCAGAAAAACTTATATACAAGACAAAAGGGACAGAAATCCAAAACAATAACAGAAGGGAACAAACAAAAAATAAACAAAAAAGAAATAAAAAGAACTACAAACTCAATTAAAACTTCTTGTTTCCATTTCTTGGTCTCATTTCAATAAACATCTACACAGGGAATCTAAAAATCTGCAGGAGTTGGGGATGTAAAGAGGGCTGTACTGCAGTCCCTCAGATCAGGTCCAGGGAACAACACTGAGAATTTCCAGCTGGCAGGCTCCAGTGGCTAGGGTTCAGTCTGATCTCCCAGCATGGGTATCACTGGGGCAGTCATCAGAAAAGAGTGTGACCCCAGAATGCAACTGGAAAGCTGAAATCATCTGAAGATACCTTGATGGTAGGTATAACTAAGTGAAGCCATACAGAACTGCTGAGAGAGAGAGGCCAGAGAGGGAGAGTTTATAAGAGAGCAGTTGATGTGTTCTGAGCAGCAGAATTGACTATATTTAGCCTTTGCCTTATAAAGTCTCAAAGTCACCTGCCAAGTCCCATCTGATGAAAGCCTCCTTCTTTGTGACATCTGGAACAGGAGGCCTGTTTGGATGGGGCATGACTGGTAAGAGTAGTTCATGTTTATATAGATGGTAATATGTTTCAGTTATGTTATATATAGCAACACCTTTAATCCATACAATTACTAGAACTAAGTTCTCAATTGTCCTTTCCTTTAGTGATACAGAAACTGAGGCACAGAGAAGTTACACTGACAATTTACCAGCACTAGGCTTTAAAACTAGAGCCCATGTTGACTAAAATCCCTATATCC